TTTCTAACTTTTAAATAACTAATGTTATCGAACCACACAACTTATAATCTATTTCTAATGCATTTTTGCTACAAAAAAAGGTGTTTGCTTTATTTTTTTAATTTTTATTTTATATTGGAGTATAGTTGATTAACAATGTTGTGTTAGTTTTGGGTGTACAGCAAAGTGATTCAGTTATACATATACATGTATCTATTCTTCGTTTGCTTTATTTTTAAATGTTTCAATTGCAAAAGTAATGTGTCAGTGTTATAGAAATTTCAGGCCATTCAGAAGAGTACAAAAGGAAAAGTAACATCTCCCCTCTCTCCCTCCCAACAACAGGTCCCACTGTCAAAGGATAACCACTGCTAAGTTTGTGCATCCTTCCAGAGCACACATATCATATATAAATGTATATGCATCATGTTTATGTATATACATCATATGACTTTCAAAAAAATAAATGAGATACTATACATACTGCTCTGTGCCTTGTTTTTTCCCACAAAACTATGTGTGGGCAGCTGCCCTAAAAGGACATCTCAAAACACCTCTTTTTCCCAGCTGCATAGTATTCCTTAGTGGGAATGTGCTGTAGTTTAACCAGTTCCTTCTTAATGAGTATTGCAACTTGTTTCGCTGCAACAAATATTGCCATCTATATAAGGTAACATGCTAGTGCATGTACTTCTGAAAAATAAAGTCCAAGAATGAAGACTGCTGGATAAAAGAGTAGAATAGCTACCCTGTAAATTTTTTTCTAAGTATTAACAAATAGCCCACCAAAAATTACAATTCTCATCACTCCCACTAACTGTATCCTAATGCACTTTAAAATTACAGCAGGTCTCTGCTCAAGTAGCAATGCTGGCCAAAGAATCACAAATCTAAGTTGAAAATGAGAACTAATATTTACCAAGTCAGTACCAGACACTGCACTTGACCTTTACAATATCACAATAATACAAAAATTCTGTGAGGTGAGTGGCATTGTCTCCATTTTTGAAAAGAGGAATCTAAGGCTCAGAGAGCTTGCCCAGTGTTACACAGCTTTATAAGTAACAGGGCCAACATTTGAACCCAGGGGATCTGGTACCCAACGGAGACTATACAGAGCTTCCCCAAACTAGGGCCAAAGTGAAGGGCTCTTAAAAATAAATAAATAAATAAGGGCTCCGGATTAACCAGGAAGAGGGTGGTTCTGAAATGTTTGCTCACAGGCTCAAATGTTAATTTCATGCTACTGCAAAAAGCCATATTTCCTCTTTCAGACTTTGGCTTTGAACCCACCCTCAGCCTGTGCTTAGGAATTCAGCTTCAACAAAACAACGAGCCCACCGTCCACAGAACCTGGAGGGGCTGACCAACATGTACTTGGAAAGTTGACAGGCGTGGAGGAGGGGGAAGCCAGAAGCAGGCGGTGGGCTAGCATGGCAAAGTTAGATATTCTGGACCCGTATCAGTTGTCACAAAAACATTACGGGGGAAGTGGAACCACTGTACACATGAGAGAGAACCACAATTAACTGACACAGTCTGTTTATGACACCTTTCCCTGCCTCAAACACTCACTGTTTCTGCTGCACAGACATGCGGGGCTTGGTAACTTCAGGATGGCACTTAATCACGTACCGAGCCAGACAGCTGGGAGCTCCCTGCCCTGACAAAACAGGTTAGACTGGTGCCAGGCAAGCACCTTACCCACTGCCCTGCAGCTCCCATTGCAGGGTCTGGGGGCTGCCTTCAACGTCCCTGGAGAGTCTAGTCTTTGGTCACCTTCCCTTGTAGCTGCCTGGACCAGTGGCCAGGGAGGAGGAGTGCTTCTAACTGTCCCTTGGTGAGTAGGGGAATTCCTTTCAATTTAAATGCTAAGCATTCACAGCGTGTCTCTTCTTGTCCTTGGGTCCTTTGGGATCTATCTGTACACACCGCTCCTAAAGTAACATCAACTCTTTTGGGGGGATAGTGGGATAAAAGGAGCGAGGAAGAGGAGGGAAAATCTCTCCCCCTTTCCCTGTCTTGTCTCCCTTCCAAACACAGGGTTCCAAAAGTTTCATGGGTAGTCAACAATTGAAAGATCATAGAAAATTGATAACAATGTGATTTGAATAGGGAGAAGCGGGCATCAAACTGGGTGATTTGAGGAGCATCTTAAAATGCCACAACAATGCCACAGAATGGAGGCATGGACATGCTATTAGGTGATTCCACTTCCAAAGTTAAAAAGAAAGCACAAAAGGGTATAAAGTGATGTCTCCCTCCCACCCCTATGTCCCACCCACCTAGTTCCTCCCCCACAAGGAAACCAATGGTACTAGTCTATTGCATGTCCTTCCAGAGATATTTTACAACTACACCAGCAAATACATATATTATCACATTTTAATATATTACTATATATTAATACATTGTATCATATATGTATATATCACAACTTATTTTAAATATTAAAGCCTTCCCTCTCAAAGTACCACTTAAATATTTTTAAAGTGGCAGGAATTAGATTTTTTAAATTTCAAAGTAAAGAATTGAAATTCGCAGCTGAACTCTTTTCATTCATGAAAACTTACCAACATTTAAAAGTTAAATTGGTCACCTCCATAAATTAAGTTGGGCACCCAGCACACAGCAGATACTTAACAAATGTTTCCTTAGATCTTTTTGTCCTTTATTACTCAGAGGCAACAGGACAGTTACTCATTTCCTCTATTGATATCAAGAAATGAAATCTGATTTCTTACTACTAAGAAAGAGAAGTCCTGAAATTTGTACTGCATTCACATAAGTATTCAAAGATTTTCATACCGAATTTTAATCAGAATCCCTATCCCAATAGTCTAAGTATACATTGGCTAGTTAGCTTATCAAATGACATTAGAATTCAGAATTGGGGGCGGGGGAGACTTGAAACAGTAGACTAAATATCCCTGAGAAAAAGAGAAATATTTTCTCTCAATTATAGGCAACCCACACCAAAATATTAATATTTGGCAGAACCTAGGACATCTCACATTGACAAACAAATTTCTTAATGCATTTCAAAGTAAGATTAAAAAACCCAAAGACACAGAACAAAATTACAGAGAATGCTATGAGAGGATGTTGCCTTTTCTGAACATCATCAATTAAACTAGATTTCCGCAAGACAAAATGAAACAGTACACTGGTAGCACAATCCCAATGACTAAAAGATTGAGATGAGTTTAAAAAGTACATATCCACAAAGGAAAATTCCACTGTTGTTTTCAAGCCTTAAGATAAAGGTGACTGAGCTGCTAAGAACATGGAGTACTCCTCAGAAAATCCATTTTTAAATCCCATTTTCATGCACTTGAGCATGTATTTATGAGCCTGTCAAATCTACCTCCTAAAAGTATTTCACACTGTACTTTAATGAATTGGATCTAAGGGCTATAAAATAAAAATATTTTCATGGCTATCTATATACATATAAAGGCAACGTTCATTTGCACTATGGCAGAGTCAATCGCCTGAAATGACAACATGCTTCAACTCCCCACTCTGCTACCTGCTCAGGAAATCTTCGAGCTTACCTGCAGCCTGGGCATCAGTCGTCACCGACTGACACAAACCACAAAGCTAAAGAATGGCCAGGTTTGTGTTCACACCTATAATTTGCAATAACCAAACTCAGTTTTAGATCTGGTCCTGTTTCAACTCAAGTCCTGTTTAGGCCACTACCTCTTTAAAACTAGAGGGCTCCCTGACAGCACTTCATAACCTTGGTGGCCATGAGCCTGGGCTGTCAACAGTCAAGAACCATGAGAAGCAAGGCCCAGGGCCAAGGGTAATTGTCACATTAAAGATTAAGGTGTCTGCTTTCCATTCTCTATCAGGGAACCCTGAATGGAAATTGAGTGGAGAGATCCCTCCAGTATAAGTGATGAAGTCAAATGTTCCCTACTGAGAACAGTCGTGAAGTGGGCTCATCTATTTCACATGAGGATGCCAACCCGGGCCTTAATTCCACTGAATTAAATTCAAAAAGAGAATACTTGGTTCCAGTTTGGAGTCATGTCATGGTGGGTGGGGGTGGGGGCGGAGTGGGGGCATGGCGGGGGGAAGAGGGATGATTCAGATTGTGGCTGACATCCATGTAGTAATGGAAGATTTGTGCTGACCACTGTGCATGTAAAACACCGTGTGCCATTAAATCCAGAAAAGGATGGTGGCATTAGCCCACCTTTCACAACAAAAGAAGGCTGACTCCAGAATTAAAACCACTACTTTTCCTCTTCATACACCCTTAAATGTATCTTCGAAGTCGTGTCCTTCTTACAATCTGAGGAATAGGAAAGCTCCTCTTAGCTTAGAGAAGGCAAGTAACTGGGTAAAACTTCCCACCTGGACATAAGAGTGGGAGGCGTGCCCATCTCCCCGACTAGGCCCGCCATGGCGGTGCACCACTCTTAAGTCCTGGACCACGCTCACCTTTCACAGTGCTTCAAGCTTCGACTTTATTCACAAGAGATCCGGGAACACAGATGTCAGAAGTGGGCGCCCACCCAGGTTGACCATGGACGCGGCGGCATCCACCAAGCCCCGTCAGCCGCTACCCAAGCCGAGGAACGCTCAGCCCTCGCCCCACCCTCACGGTGGCCTGCTTCCTGGGGCGGTGCGGTTCCTGGGAGGTCACCCACCTCCCGCCACCGCACACACCCCGTGGAGCTGAACTGGGGCGGGGGCGCGAGAGGGGGCGAAGCTGAGACAGAACCGATCGGACAGAACCAGGCCACCCCGGTGCCTTTCATTTTCCCGGTTCCCCTTGAAGAAACGTCGAAATGGAGTGGAATTCTTTTTCATGGTAATAGGGAGCCCGAAAATGCAGACAGTTGACCTTGGGAACCAAGACCGTCGCAGCGGGAAACGGAAAAGAAACGAAACACGTCGGCAAGTGAAGGGGGAGCACAAGGCGGCGACGCGGGGCGGGGGGGAGCGCAGCAGCCCGGGCGGCCGAGGGTAGTCGGGGACGGTGGGCGCGGGTGCGGGGTGCTCACCGTAGATCATGGCCAGCCCGGTCTCGTGCAGGAAGCGCACCCGGCGGTGCTTGAAGAGCCAGATGGTGAGGATGGTGAGCGTGAGCAGCAGGATGAAGGTGAGCAGGCTCACGCTGTCCTGCCGGTGGCTCTCCTCCGCCTCCTTCTCCGTGGCGAGCTCCTCCATAGCGCTGCTGTCCTCGGCCGCCGCCCCAGAGGAGGAGGCCGAGGCCGCCGCGCGCAGCCCCCGACCCAGCAGCAGCGGGAGCAGCGGCAGCAGCAGCAGCCGCGGTGGCAGCGCCCGAACCACCCGCTCCGGGCCGAGGCGTGCCGCGTCACCAAGCTCCATGGCCCCAGCGCCGCCCGCGCGCCTCCTGCGCGCTGGGACAGGCAGCCCGCGCCGTCGGCGGCTTCCCGTGGCGCCGCCGACCTGCCCGAGCGGCCACTGAAGCCGCAGCTCCTCCTCCCGCTCGCGCCGGGGCCGGGGCCGCGCCGGGAGCCGCGCTGGGGGAGGGGCGCGCGCAGTGCGCAGGATCCCCAAGCACCGCCCCCCGCCCGCGCACCTGTCCGGCCCCCGGCCGCGCCGCGCGCCCGCCCCGCCGCCTCCCCACCGGGGTCGCCTGTCGCCCTCCAGCCTGCGGGCGGGACCGCTGGCCCCTCGCCTTCTGCGCTCCTCGCCCGGTCCCAGCGTACCTGGCCAGGCCGTCTGGGCTCGCGGGGCCACTTCCTGGGCACTCGCCGCCGCGCTTCGTAAACGGGACGCCAGAGGTCGCCAGTGCCTGGCAGGAGCATCCTCTTGGATGTGCGGTCTCGAGTCCTGTGTCTGGGACCACTCGAAGTATCTGATCTCCGGCCAGTGTGTAGCCGCCCTGGGCCCAGTAAAGTGGGGACTCTGGAGAAGCCGAGGAGCCTCGAAGCCACGTTACCCCCTACACCTCTCTTCCCACGTCTCTCAGAGTGCCTTCCAGCATTCCGGGCTTCCCAGAATCCGCCAGGCTTCATTCAAACCTCGGCTTTAGCCTGACCCAAAGTGAGGACCGATAAGGGATTGAAATGAGGGAAGAGCGTTAAAATAGCACCTTTACCACTTGGCAAGTAGACTGACTTCTTATTCTGGACTTTGTAACTAACCCTCAGGGGGAAGCGGGTTGAACCAGAAGGAACTGGACACTTGCCATTCCAGGTAGATGAGCAGCAGGTGGTTGGGGAGGGGCAATTACCCTAGTGGCCCTTTTATGTTGACCTGTTGGTAGCCCAGGCAGTTTTTGGTGATTCTGAAGACCGGGCCCAGGTCTGGAAAAAAAATCGTAAAGTGGACTCTAAATGATAAAGCCTCTTGGAACAAATCCTCAGGAACAAGAATTTTCAATCTACCTTGTTCCTCTGGTCAAGGAAGAAAAGAGAGATTGAGTTAATCACTGAATTCCCAGCGCCTAGCACTGTGCTCATAAGCGTTTACTGAACCACTCTGAAATCCGTACCAACTGTCCAAGTTTTGTCTCCCAGAGGAGTCTGCATTTTTAAGAGGATTCATTGAAGAGAGCAATGCTTAACTAAAAGGAGTAGTAATAGGGTAGAGATGGTATTAGGTAAGAAAGATATGTGGAGCACTGCAGACTTCCTGGTTCCCCTCTAGGTGAGCACGCTGCCAAGGCTGCCCAGTACCTTCTTTGCAGCAGGGAAATCTCTTCATCTAGATTTTAGCTAGCATCTCTCCCTGTTCTTCCAGACTGTCACACAGCCCCTACAAAATCAATATACCTTGAAGTTCCATGCAGCTTCCCAATGAAACTGCAAACACCAAAAATGTGGATAGTCACAGAGAAAGTTAACCAATGGGAAAACTTGATCTAAGTTCTGGAGACTCACTAAAAGCCATGTTTGCTGAAAATCTAATTTCTGGAGAGTCATTAAAAGCCATGTTCACTGAGCATAATATTTAATATCACAGCCTCTTAGATTCCCAAAAGTCAAGGGAAAAGCTTCTCGCTATAGGTAACACTGAGGACAACTCAAGAGCTACCTTAAAAGTACAGATTTCTGGACTTCCCTGGTGGCGCAGTGGTTGAGAGTCCGCCTGCCGATGCAGGGGACATGGGTTCGTGCCCCGGTCCGGAAAGATCCCACATGCCGCGAAGAGCTAGGCCCGTGAACCATGGCCGCTGAGCCTGCGCGTCCAGAGCCTGTGCTCCGCAACGGGAGAGGCCACAACAGTGAGAGGCCCGCGTACATAGTACTTACGGCAGATCGTGTTTTCCAAAAGCGCCAGAAACCGGGTTTCCAATCCCACATGCTCTTCCATAACTTTGCCACTCCTGCATTAAGAGGTGGCAGCTATGTTCACCCCCCCTTGAACCTCGGTAGACCCTTACTGCCTCAAAGAATAGAATGTGGTAACTTGTAAAGCTACGTCGTAAAAGGCAATCGGGTTCCTGCCTGGCTCACTCTTTTTTTTCGGTACGCGGGCCTCTTACTGTTGTGGCCTCTCCCGTTGCAGAGCACAGGCTCCGGACGTGCAGGCTCAGCAGCCATGGCTCACGGGCCCAGCCGCTCCACGGCATGTGGGATCTTCCCGGACCGGGGCACGAACCCGTGTCCCCTGCATCGGCAGGCGGACTCTCAACCACTGCACCACCAGGGAAGCCCCTGGCTCACTCTTAATGCTCTTGCTCTCCACTCACTTTGGAGCCCTGCGCTTCCATGTAAGAAATCTAGACCATAATGAGATATCACCTCACACCTGTCAGAATGGCTATTATCAAAAAGACAAGAGATAATTATTGCTGGTTAGGATGTGGAAAAAAGGGAACCCTTGTGCACTGTTGGTGGGAATGTAAATTGGTGCTGCTACTATGAAAAACAGTACTGAGCGTCCTCAAAAAACTAAAAATAGGACTATCATATAATCCAGCAATCCCACTCCTGGGTATATATCCAAAGAAGTTGAAATCAGGATCTCATCGAGATATCTGTGCTCCCATGTTCATTGCAGCATTACTCACAATAGCCAAGGTATGGAAACAACTTAGGTGTCTGTCAACAGATGAATGGATAAAGAAGACGTGGTATATACATACACCGTGGAATATTATTCAGCCATGAGAAAGAAGGAAATCCTGCCATTTGCAACAACATGGATGGACCTTGAGGGTGTTATGCTAACTGAAATAAGTCAGACAGAAAAACAAATACTGTATGATCTTACTTATATGTAGTATCTAAAAAAACCAAATTGATAGAAACAGAGAGTAGAGTGGTAGTTACCAGGGGCTGGGGGGTGGAAGAGATGGAGAGATGTTGGTCAAAGAGTACATACTTCCAGTTATAAGATAAACAAGTTCTGGGAATCTAATGTACAGCATGGTGATTATAGATAATAATACTGTACTATATACTTGAAAGTTGCTAAAAGAGTAGAGCTTAAATGTTCTCACCACAAAAAAAGAAATGGTAATTATGTGACAGGATGGAGGCATTAGCTAATGCTATGGTGGTAATTATATTGCAATATATATGTGTATCAAATCAACATGTTGTATTCCTTAAACTTACACAGTGTTATATGTCAATCATACCTCAATAAAGCTGGGAAAAAAAGAAATCTATCTTGAAGGTTCCATGCTGGAGAAACCATTGAGAGACCACATAGCAGTAGAGACAGACACCACAGAAGCCAAACTTTTTGAATGTTCCCAGACCAAATGCCACACACATGAATGAGTGAGCCTTCAGATATTTCATTCCCAGATACCATTTTACTGTAAACATATGAGAGACTGCCCCCTACAAGGAAGAACCACCTAGCTGAGCCTAATCAATACCTGAATCTATGAGATAATAATAACATAATTTATGTTATTTTAAGCTACTAAGTTTGAGGGTGATTTCTCCCATAGCAATAGATAACCAGAAGAGTATTTATAGTATAAAGTGGTTGCCTCAGGTACAGTATGAAAAGATTAGTCCCAGCTATTCACAAATATACACCAAAGAAAACACTCCATTATCTATATATATTTATATATGAAAACTAATGTACATGATACAAGGGTTCTGATTCCAGTTAACACAGAATAATCACACTCAACCCATTCTCTCCCACTGAATGCAACTATAAAACCTGAACAGAATGCATGGAGCAGCTATTTGAGGACTCTAAAAAATACATTGTACCAGGTGATTTGAGGAAAAACACCCAAATTTGAAGTAAAACAACTGGCAGCGAGTTTACAATTTTTTTCCCTCCAGTAGCCACTGGACTGGACTCAAGGCAGCCCAAAACCCAGTAGGGGGCATTGACATGGACAGAAAGCACAACAGGACGAGCAAGAAATAATCTCCTAATGTTCAGAGAAAATAGGGAAGTACCATTTTTTCTTTTCTCCAATCTCTCACACCCTAGCCAATAGGCAATCCCCCATGACAGCTGAGTCAACCATGACAATGGAGGGAGCAGTGCTCTCAAGTGCCTAAAATGACAAGGGAGGGGAGATCTTTCCTCTGATTGGAGTAGCTATGGTCCCAAGCCAGTGGGGCAACACCCTATTTATATATATATTTTCTCTCTCTGCCCTCCTACTACTTGGCCCCAGACATGAGTAAAGTTGCAGGAAGTGCACGGCAGATAATAATAAATAAAGACTCAGATTTCTTGCTAAAGAATTGAAAAGGGGAACTCCAAGGAGTAGCAAAGTAACAGGGAGATTATGCAGAGGGAGTTGCTGAGGAAAACAACCCTATCACATTGTTTTATGAGCTCCTAGATTCACCCCAACCTGCATGTGGATCTGATCTTACATAGCATACCAAAGACTGTGGTAACTGAACTAAGAAACAGATCGCCACCCAGATCCTAGACTAGCCACTGGTTAAAACACATGTGGGACAGATCTAAATAGCACTGTAAAACTTTTGAAAACTGAATTGACTTTGGAGCCATGATCCACAAAAGGCAGGTCAGAACTTACGATCTGGACCCTACCAAGTTGACTACGAGCTAAAATAAAAATATGAATATTCCTCCATGCGATTAAAACAAGATATAAAGCCCCATAACATAATATTTTAAAAGTCCAGACTACAGCCCAAAATTATTTGGCACATGAAGAACCTTAAGAATCTCAACTATTGATTGCCTATTGAAAAGGCGTTCAATAGACACCAGTGCTGAGATGACACATGACATAGCTATTGGAATTATCTAAAAAAGACTTTAAAGCAGCTATTATAAAAATACTCCAACAATCGCTTCTCCACTTTTTGGCTAAGATCAGGTGTAAAAACGCTCCAACAATTTAAAGCAAACAGTCTTGAAATGAATATAAAGGCAGAAAATCTCGGCAAAGGAGTAAACAATAAGGGAAGAACCAAACTGAAATGTTATAACTAAAAAATATAATAACTGAAATTTTAAAGGTGACTAAATGGGCTCAGTAGCAGAATGAAGATGAGTCAGTAAATCTGAAGACAGATCAATAGAAATTATCCAACTTGAACAACAGAGGAAAAATTGAGAAAT